AAAAAACTTGCTCTTTCTACATATTTGTTATTCTGTTAATTATTTATTTTTTGTTGTATATTTATTTATATTTATTTCCTATTATTTCACAATAAGAATATAAATTTCATTTACTTCTTTAAAATATAGAAGAACTTGTCGTTTTACAAAATTTTTGCTCTGTTATTTATTTAGTTAATATTATTATTAAACATGAGAATATTATTTTTAGAAAAAATTTGCCCCTTTCTTACTCCGTTAATTATTTATTATTTTTACATCTTTAAAATATAGAAAAACTTGCCCTTTTCACATAAATTTGAATTCGTGAATGTTGAAGAAAGGACAACAATAATAAACCCAGAAATTTCTGGTTTCCAAACAAAAGTAAGGTAAAACAAACACAAAATAAAATTTCATAACCAAAATAAATGTGAAAAAATGAGAAAGATAATTTTATATATATTTTTTTGAAGAGGATTAATTAAATTTAACACAAACCTGTTGAATTCTTGATTTCAAATTCCATCTCCTTCATGAAATTGGAAAGAAGGCGTTTGTGGGCTTGCATGGCAAGAAAAACTACGCTGCCTGAGACTGCAAAAACCGTCATAAAACATGTTCCTATAGAACTATCCATTTTTTTTTTCTTCTATTAAAAGAAAAATTATATTTTTGTTGTGTATAATAATACAATTATTATTATTCCTCTCTCTGTAATGATGTTGTTGATCAAGGCCAAAGGGGTTTTCATTTGGTAAAAGGTTAAAATTTGTTTTGAGAAAAAGGGTAAAATAAAAGGTAAAAAAATGGAACAATTGGTAGTTGTTATAGTCAAATGAATTATCGAAAGAAATCCTTCTTGTTTCGAGAAGTTTTGACAGTTTTATTTGTTTAACTTTAATTTATATGTTGGCAAGTGACCTTTTGGATGGTCTCAAATTGGGAATTTTTTTTAAAAATATATTTCCTAAGTATATATATATATATTTAAAGATAAATAAATTGGGAGTTTTCCACCCTACTTTTTTGGTATTAGTATCAGCCCTCTCTTCACGACTGTTAAATATGGTTTTTTCATGCGTAAATTAATGATTTATCTATAAATTTATCCATTTTTATTTGGTACGTAACTATATTGTTTTATCGAGTGCCTGTAAAATTAATTCTGCTTTAGGTTCATTCATATATTAGTTATTTGAAAAAGGAGGATGAGAAAAAATGCGGATAAAAGGATGGTAATTAATTCCTCTCTAAATGTCTACTAGTGATTGGTATTGGAATAGAAGTTCATGTTTGTATATTTGGTGTAAACAGTTTCTAAATAATGTTTGGTATTTAAAATCCATATAACAAAATACGATTTTTTTTTTTTATTTCGTATTTCTTTGAATGATGGAGTTCTTGATAAAACTAACTATTTGTAGAAAATAAATTCACCATCGCTTTATATAAATAGTTAGATTTCACTCGTGAAAATTCAAACTTGGTTAAACTTGAACAATAAATCAAGTTAATAGAATCCAATTGGTGCAAATATAGCTTAGTTTGACTTGTAAAAGTTTGAACCAACTCATTTGTTTATTTAATTGAATTGAGCTTGAGTAAACTAATCGAGCTTGTTTTAAATGAGTCAAGCCAAGCTCGTTCACAAATAATTTATTTTTCTATATACTTTTTTTTATGTATATATGAATTTTGCACGAAAAGTTGAGACCAACATTTTGTCATTTTCACAAGTTCACACATTGTATTACCCTACAAATCATCTTACCATTTTTATTTAGATAAACGAGTTGAACCGAACTTAAACAAAACCTAATATTAATTTGATAGAAGACATTTGTAATCATGTAATTCTCTTTTCCTTTATAACAAAATTCAGCCGAAAAGAGAATATATGAACACAAAAGTAAACGGGAAAAGAGAGAAAAAAAGAAAAAATTGGAGAAATTAATTACCACATAGCATCACTATTCAATCCAACGGACTATAATAAGGAATTACACACCTCAAAAGGGAACAATATATAACCACATACAGAACAAAAAAAAAAAAAAAATCTGAAATTCAGATTTCAATTTTCCCATTTAGAAACAACAGCACACACTGTACATAGTACATACACGTGAATCAACTAGAAACCGGCCGATCCATCCACCACGCCGGCCGCCGCAACTCAGGAGGTGAAGTAGAAAGCCGGCAGGAGAATGAGGTAGAGGCAGAGGAAGCAGGCGGTGGAGAGAGAGAGATACAGCAGCCCGTACACAACTCTGAGAGCCATTTTTTTTTTTGTTTTCCTTTTTTCCTGAGTTCGAATATGTGAAGGCAAATTTGGGAATTTTTTTTTAGATCGGTGTGCTTATTATTATTTTGGATTTGTTGTGGAGTGATTTGA